TAATTCTAGATCATTTAAAATATTCTTTGTTATTCTTATTATTAATAATAGTAACAATGAATCTCATTTCTATTGTATATCAAGGTTTAGAGAACGTGTCCATCTCAAGAACCCTGTGACAAAGGTAGAACAAATATTCTCTCTACTTTACATAGTAGGAGACAGATTTAAGATGTCAAGTGACTTGTTGAGAGTCAAGCAATCAACCCTAGGTAGTATTGTGGAAAGGTGGTTAAACAAAAAACAAAACAAAACAAAACAAAACAAAACAAAAACATGAACTGAATGAGCAGAATAGAGCCATGATGCTACACTTAGTCCCAAAAAAATTAGAGGGTTTAAACTGTCATTTTCATTTCTTAGGAGTAACTTCTAATCAAAATATATACATTAGTTCATCATGGAGAGGAAAAGGTGCTTTTAATCTCTTGAGTTGTGCTATCAGAATTCTTTTAATACCAGAAATCACAGAAAGCAAATCAAAATTCCCTGTGTCCAATTGCATACAATGTTTGATAGCTTCAAAATTAAACATTGGCTATACTGTGAAAAAAGTGACAAAGATCTGAAATAACAAAATAACATTCTGTTTTGTCTTCTGTAATGCACTAATTATATAAAACTATCCTTTTATTTTTTATCCTTAATACCTTCTATTTCTATGAGATTTTTAGCTTCATGAAGTCAGGATTTATTTCAATCTTATATCTTCTCTAGTGTTTAGCATAGTGTTTTGCATGCATTGAGTGCTAAATAAATGGTCATTGAATTGGAGTTACATAAGTTGTCTTTCTTCCATATTGAGCCCTCTACATCATCCCTCACACCATGCTTTCATCTCTTTTTCTTTCACCAGTTTCACGTAGCATTTTCTTCTCCATTTATTTAACTATTCGTTGCAAAACGTCTAATGAACCTTTATTAGACATTTTGTCCATATACCAATGTTTTCTAGGTCAGATTATTATAAAACACTTTGATTTTATAGTTTGAAGCTTATGCTTTGCAATCAACTAACCTGAAAGAAATACTTCAATCTTTATCTCTTGATTTTTATAGTTTGCATGTCCCAAGAGAGTGACTACAGAATTACATTTCAGGTCAAATAGTTGTAATGTACAAACTCAATAAAGGAATTATTTTAAATTGAATGAACCTTGGCAGTGGCATAAAAATAGATATATACATATTATATCTCTGTGTCTGTGTGTATACATACATCTATCTATATCTATATATGGCACACAGTAAAATCTCAGTAATTTGCACATCATTAATTCAGAATTCACATTAGAATGCTTCATAAGACCTGTGATTTTACTGATTCAGGGAAGTGATTCTTCTATGCCAATGGAAATGTTTTCAAGTGTTTGCAAGAGAGAGAGACACAGAGAGACAGAGCCACGAGAATGAACAACTAATGGCTGGCCTTGAACTAACCTGATTTTAATTAGGCTGGTCCTCAAAATCCATAGGCAACATAAAACAAAAATGCTTGCCCTGTAATTACAATGTGGCATAACAGATATAGAGCCAGGTTTGGCATTAGGAAGACTTGGCAGTTCCTGTCTCAGACACATAATAATTGTAGGACCACAGACAAATCACATATCATCTCAATGCAACTATTTGATACTATAAGTTTCAGATCAATTCCTGATCTGCAGTTTGGAATTTCCATATTAGAGAGTTCCCTTAAATAATGAAATAATATGTTTGGACTAAAAGAAAAATCAACAAAACAACAATTATATTATGATTCTTTTCAATTTATAAAAACGTGCACCATTCCTATTATCTCTTCTGATTCTTTTAAACTGTGAAATAACTAATGGCAATTAAAAAAAATCAGATCATAGAATCATAGTTTTAGAGCTGAAAGGAACCCCATAGGTCATGGAGACCAATGATCAAAATTTTAGCAGTGAAGTATTTGAGGTAAAAGAAAGTCTTGCACAAGGTCGTGAAGATAAAACATTGAAAAAATCAAGATAAAAAAATCAGCCCCTCCAATTTCAAATTCAGTGATCTCAGTGAAATTGAGGTTACCAGAACGTCAGTGACTTACTTGAGGGTAGAAGATACTAGAGTGCTGGAAGTAGAATGCCATCCATTCAATTCAATAAATACTTATTAGATACTTATTCTGAATAAGGCAATGGGAATACAAAGTTGGATATGAATGGAGTTAAATATTCCTGAGAAAAAGATTGAGGCAATTTTTCAACAGTCTTACTTTGAAGGAAGGGAGAGCTGGTCTAAAATTTTTTTTTTAAACTGAGAATTCCAAAATGAATTTTTTTTTTTTAACATACACCAGCTTCTGGATCCTGAAATGAACTCTTCCATATGAAGAGATTTTCATTTTTATTTTCAGTCTCTTATGCACTATAATGCTTATATTAAATCATCTCATTTAGCTCTTAGTATTATTTTTTCTTAAAATAGAATTCTACTGTACTTAAAATGATAAACTTAACTGACAATGAGATTATGTCTATGAATATTTAAAATGTATGGTACATACTCCAAGAGGTTAAGTTAGAAAGAGAAGAGCTGAGTGCTGCCAAACAGATACAAAAAAAAAAAATGCAGGTTGAAAGGAACAGATGCAGAGGCACTTTGGGAATACTTTTCAAAATATTTCCCCAAAGATGACCCCCCCCAAAAAATGAGCAAAAACCCCGTGCTTAAAACACACACACACACACACACACACACACCCCAAAGTCAACCAAGAAGATACCAATATCATATGTTTTCATTCTCTTTCTTAATATAATCTTTATGAGAATGGTATATGTACACATAGAAGATTTCCTGTGTGACCTTGGGCAAGTCATTTCATTTTCCTAAGGCTCAATCCATTTATTTTTAAAATGAGAAGATTGGAATAAATGACATCTGAAGTTCCTTTCAGCTTGAAAAGTATGATATATGAATATAGAAGACAGCAGGTTGACTTTCATAGATAATTTTGTATATAGCACACCACAGCTTTATAGTTACCTAAATGACTCAATGGTGTAGGGAGTTTAATACACTGCTTTGTTTCCTGTATGGTTATTACAAAAAAAAATAACCATAACCCTTGGCTACAGTAAAATGCAGCCTTAAAGGCTTTCCTCCAAAACTATCCTAATTGTCTTTCCTCCAAAGATACCCTCTCCAACATATATTAACATTATACATTAAATTTTCCAAGAGAGATGTGACCACAGAAATAATAATTCAATGATTCACTGAATATAAGCATCAAGTAAATCAAATAGAGAGACCCATGTTAACAAAAGCATTCTCCTTTGTCATGGAGGATATCCTGCACAAAGCCCCAATTGAAGATGAAATTCGTATCAATAGAGAGAATTGACAAATGATCCTGTTTGCAGTTAACATTGGGCTGATATCATATGATGATAAATCTAAGACTGGAAGGGATTATAGCATGATAGGTTCATAGATTTAGAGTCGGAAGCAACCTTTCATATCACCTAGTTCAACTGGCTCATTCTACAAATGAAAAAAATAAACCTAAGAACCACAAAACTTAAATAACTCACTTAAGGTTATACATATTAGTGAAATAGGACAGCTAGAATTTAAACATCATATTCTTTGATTTGATAGCCCCTCAATGAGATTCATAATGAATCAAAAGAGATCTGCCTAGCCATAAACATTGGGAAAAATGCATGAAGAAAATCTATTGCTCAAATTATGAGGATGCAAGTGAATAGATAGCCCATACATAGTACCTTTATCAGTACTTATTTTGTGGACAGGAACTTTGAGACAGGCAAGAATTTAGGCCTAAGCTGAGTAAGGAAGAGGAGATTAGGGTGGATCAAATTTGTGAAATTGTAATGTGTTTGCCAAGAAAACCCCAAAAGGGGTGATGAAGGATCGATCATGATTGAAACAATTGAATAAACGTGTTTTCAGTGATCCTAAAATGTTCTCTAGCCTTAAAAGACCATTTAAAAGCAAAAAATAGAGCAATAATCTGTCACTGATCTTATACATCTGCATGATTTAAGAAAAGATGCAATTGCAGTTGACCCCAAGGGCAATCTCCTGTTGTATTAAGGTAGGCTTGCTAAATGTTGCTGCACAACCATGATATGCTTATGAGAAGTGATACAATTTTTTTTCCCTTTAGATCAAGTATAAACAGAAAAAGGATTGGTTAATTATGTGGCAAAAATGAGAAATTACACATGAATAGTATTTGTATCCAAGAAATATTAAAAGAACTATAGGAAAACTCTAGTTTCCAGCACATTGGGCTGCTGTATTGAAGATCTTTGTGAACAGAAATCATTTTGGTTAAGAAGATCATAGATTCATAGCTTTAGAGCTAGAGAGGATGATCTTATCTAGAAACCTCATTTTACTGATGAGGAAATGGGCCAATAAAGTTTAAATGATTTGCCCAAGATTGCACAGGTAGCAACCATATGAGGTGACATTAGAAGTGGCAGAGATAGTTCTTTAACTCCAGTGCAATGTGACTATTTATACCACTGGAGATTCTGTACCCTGATAAGATTAGGGATCTCTTAAAGATGAACACATACTTTATATACAAAAATGAACTATAAATTGCTATAACATTTTAAATGCAATGTAAGTTATTATTGCTCTTTTGAAAAAAATTCACATGGATTTTCATCAGATTATCTTGATTTAAATGGACTTTCTCTTCATATGATGATTAATAAGAAATTTTACAGAAAAAAACCCAACTAAGTAAACATTGAACTCTAAACTATTCAGAGTAAATTCAATGTTAATATTGTTGTAACTATGTCAGTTTGCTCAAAAGAATTAGATTTTAATATCTAATATTTCATAATATGACTACAAATACTTTCAGAACTGTTAAAAAGCCCAAGAGTACCATTGCCCAATTAAACCCAATTTGACAGGAGAAAACACAAACACAGCATTTTCATGGTAAAAATTGTAAATTTAGAAAATAAATTGGTAGAACTACTTACAGAAAGAATGGTCCAATATACACCTAAAAAAAATAAAAATTCTGATTCAATTATTATTCACTTTAATTTTTTTAAAAAATCTCTGATTTAGATTAGTTTGATAATTCTTTCCACCAACTCCCATCTTAGCCACATTCCACTACCTTTAAAGTTGTCTTATCCTCCTTTCGTCTCCCACTCTAATGGTTAACCTTGTAGGGGATGAACTTCTTAGGTCTCAGCTAAGCAGATCCTTGGACAATAGAGACATTTTGATCACTCAGCAGGTATTTACATATACCTGTCTCGCAGTCTGTTTAGCTTGGTATGACTTTCTTTAAAAACCAAATTAAATTTTTTTCAACTAACAAAAATTATTTTGTTTCTTCCTCCTCTCTTTTCTCCTCCCCTACTGAAAACAAACAAAAAACTTTGTAAGCAAAGAATTACTTTGTAGGATATTAGGTCTAAGAGACCTAATATTTTATAATCACAACCTCTGAAATACCAAGATTACCTCCATCCTTATTAAGCCTTCACAGTAAGAGTTTAGGTAAAAACTAAATTATATGCATGATTAATTACGTACCTATCTAAAAATGGTACGATTGACTAAAATGTTATAAGAACTGGCTTGGCTATGGGATATCCAGTATGGCTATTTCCATAGGTTTCTCAAATTTAACACTTCCAATATGAGTGCAGATTATTTGCCTTCCCACAACATCTCCACCTGACCAGCATCTTATCCTACTTGAACTCCTGGTTTCCAGTTTTTCACACAGTTGCCAAAAACAAAGCAAGACAAAACAAAAAAATTCCATTCCAAAGTGGAAGTCTTGCCATATCACTCCACTGCTCAAGAAATTTCAGAACCTATATGATAAAATATTGACTTCTTAGCTTTGCACTTAAAACCTTTCAAATCTAGTTCCAAATATTCAATATTTTCATTATACTATATTTCAACTAAACTTGACTACTTGATATTTCCTCAACTATGCATTCCATTTCCTCCACCTCTTTCCCACTGTACAGGCTATATTCTCTATGTATGAAATATATGTCCTCCTAACCTCTGCCTTCCTGGAATTCCTACCTTCATTCAAGGTTCAATTCATGTGATAGCTCCTATCCTTTCTTGGTCCTCTTGGTCATTATTACCCTCTCTGTCTTCAAGTTTTCATGGATATGCATATTTGTTTATGTATTACATCTCCAGTAGGATGCAAGCTCCTTAATAATAGAGAATAATTTTCATTTTGTATCCCAAGCACCTAGCACAGTGTTCTGCTCATAGTAGAGTTTAATAAATGCTTCTTGGAAATAAAACTTTTTTTTTACTTTAGGATACTTCCTATTTGGAAGGGGACTCGTATCTAAATGTAGCTTCCCATGAACTAACATAGTCCTTGAAATGCAATAGGCACTACATAAATGCTTGTTGATTGATTTTTAAAAGTCCCTGTTGGATTGGATTGAGAGAATTAACCCAGATATAATCCAGTTATCCCCACTTAAATGACCATTTCTGACAGAAGTTGAAGTGAGAGTTGGATAAAACAGTCCAATTTCACAGTTAGTGCACATTGAATTAGCCCCCAGTAACCTTCTATTCATACTCTGGCTACCTATTTACCTAGAGGGAGAGAGGTTCTTTTCTGTCCCTGCATCAAGAATGTGTGCAGATAACTTTCTTAGAAGTAAAGGGAATTACACACGCACACACACACACACACACACACACACACATTCACACACACCTGCAAGTCTGGGGGATGGAATCTTTTGACTATGCCCATTTCTTTTTATTGATGAAAATCCTTAAGCACCCAAAGATGAAGTCTTGCTTTGTTAATGTTAGAGGAGCTCCCTGCTGGTGGGAAGGTTATTGAAGATCACTGACAGCTGTTACTTGTACAAATAAGGTGCCTAGAAACCAATGAGCTCCATATACAGTTTTTCATTTTCATCATTTCAATTCCATATGGTCAATGAAGGGTGAAGTGTTCATTCTAGCTTGTAACTAATATTTAGGAGGTGTCTTTTTTTTCATGCAAACCCAATACTCTCATCATTATTAATGAAAGTTATGCATCTGGAACCAAATTGCATCAAACTCCACACATCTGAAGCGGATGGGGTTAAAGTGTGATTACTCTTTATACACATTATTCCTTTACAAAGATATGAAACTTCAAATGTTCTAATTTAACACAGAAGGCCCAAGGCAGTCAAAGCAATAATTATAGCTCACATATAGCACTTTAAGTTTTGCAAGGATCTTTGCATATATTATCTCATTTTATCTTTAGCAACAACCCTGTGAGGTAGGTGCTATTATTATCTCCGCTTTACAGATAAAGAAACTGAGGTACAGAGAGATTAAATGACTTGCTCTATAGTTATTCAATTGTTAAAGTAGGATTTAAACCTAGGTCTTCCTGACTCTGTGAGGAACTATTCTCACCATTACGTATGGTGCTTTTCATTAAAAGATTCTATTGTGTACACACACACACACACACACACACACACACACACACACACATCTATACACACATAAATGATATTTAATTTTCATACCCATTATTCCTGAAGCCAATTTCACTCAAATTAATAAAATTTAATTTTAAAAATGATTAACTGACTATCTTGTAGATAAATTGTGATCAATGTTGGAAGATTAGGCAAGACAGAAATGTGGGAAAAGCAGGATTCAGGTGTCAACCCCATCAGGTCTTGCTAATATGAAGACCAAGGACAACCAGCATTGGTTGGCAGGAATATGATGGGAATTATTTCAGCTTGACTCACATAACAAGGGAGAGTGGTCACTGAAATAAAAGTAAAAAATTGCAAAAGACACAGTTGAATCTGTTGGCTTTTGACGACTGGATGAGATTGTGGGTCCCCCTTGAAAAATAGCTGAAATAATTCTAGACTATGGGATATCTCACTAAAAAAGAAGTTTTAGATGGAAAAATACAAGACAACCAAGCAAAAAGCACCAATTCATGGTTCAAGGGAGAAAGCAACTCATAGCTCAGTGGAGAAAGCATTCTAGCAGACAGTTCCAGAATAGTATCTCTTCAGAGAAGGAGTAAATTGGCAGCTTCTGAAGCAGAGGCATGTTCCAGTTGAAATACAATCCAAAAAACATGATTTGTCCAGGATATATGTTTTCCCTCTCCTGCATGCATCCCGTAGCTGTGCATATTCTTTTTGCATGTTTCCTCAGACAAAAGTAGGGTTGAAATCTATGAAAATGAATGCCCTATTCTGTGTAAGGGGGAAGTTTCCTTATTCTTTACCTTGCTATTATTCTATTTTAATTGAATGCATTTTGCTTGAATTAATGTACCATCTAGTCCAGTAAAAAAAGAAACATTGGTGGGAGATTCATAAGTTGTAATTTTGCTTTTATGCTGACTCAAATTGAACCTTGGATATGAGTATAGCTTTCTGGAGCTCATGTTTGATCAGTTAGATAATACATGATCCTTGTCATCATAGAACTCATACTCAGTCTTTGATTGAATACTTAAATATGTCTAGTAACAGAGATCTAATTTTCTAGGGATAGGGAAGGGTCAAATATATCCATGAGGTTACTGGCCAAGAGAATAGTTGCACCAGTACAAGAAATAGAGATGTTAGGGCTGATTTATTTGGTGGGAAATAATAAATTCAGCTTTTGGAATTTAAGTAGTCAAATAACAGATGGAAATGTAGAACAGGAGCTCAGGATAGAACTTTAGGCTACCAATTTGGATTTAGGAGTCATATATACAGAGGTGATCATTGTGAACATGGAAATGGTTAATTTAAAAACTGAGAAGAGGACTGGGGTCAGAACTTTGGAGAACACCCATACTTAGAACATGGGAGGAAGAAGAGTTGACAGTATAGGAGTTAGAAAATGAGTATTTAGACAGCTAACAGAAGAACTACAAAATTTCAGAACTATGGAAATAAGGTGGAAGAGAGAGTAATCAATAGTAGTAGATAAAATACTGAACTTGACTTCAGGAGATTAGTGTTTGAATCTCTTAGAAAATTATGAGTTGGGTGACCCTAGGAAAATCAGTTAACCTTTCTGGACTTTGTCTAATCAATAAAATTGAAATTTTAGCAATAGATCTACCTCACTGAGTTGTTGGGAGGTCCAAGTAAGATAATAAATATAAGAAGAGTATTATCACATTGGCTGAGGTCAGTGTTATTGCCAAAGCCCAAGTACCTACAACATTTCAAAGTTGCTCCTAGGTCTTGAGAGCTACGGTACATTGATCCAGCTGACACTGTGTGTTGTGTGTTGTTCCCTTACCTCATCCCACATGAAGGATGACGTGTTCTGCCTTGAGGAAGGCAGGCAATAACAAGGATATTATCATTATTACAGAAGTGGTCATGGAAGGTAAGGATTGAGAAAAGATTATTAGTCTACTACATGCTTTACTTTTAGTGAAGTCAAAATATTTTCCATGATTAATCTCAGAATTGAATCAAGAAATGTAGCACAGGAGAGTAGAAAAGTATTAGTCAGGGCTAGAAGACATAGGTTATAGTACCAAATCCTCATTCTGAAACTATCCAGAATTTCACTTTCTTATTTCCTGAACAGAGGCAGATTGCCTATCTCCCATGTATCTACACCGATGAAAACCTAAACTTCACACAAGATGGAAGAAAAATCAAGAAACTTGAGTAACTTATTCTATCCTAGAGCTGCATTAAGCAAACAGATAAAACATCAGCTAGAAACACACAAATAGCATGAAAGGGGACCAAGAACAAAGCTAGTGCCAATACAAATAAGAACATTGATAGCTTCCCAAAATGAATAGAGATGGGCGAAAGACCCAATAGTGAGCAGAGCTAACAACTCATGGTTGTTGCAAATAGGAGGCAATCTTGTAGGCAGATAAACACACAGATAAATAAGCTTGGTTTTACTTGGTTTTTAAGCTTGGTCAATCTAAATGTACTTCTCAAAGACAATGTAAACTCCTGTAAGGCTGGAATTATGTTTCTGTCTTTG